ACAGCACAAAGTCAAGGAATATGAGTTTGGCTGTGGAGAATTGGCAGAAGAAAAAAGATCAGAGAAAATTACTTGTTGATCTGAGCAATGGCGCCATCGAAGAAGATAACGGAGGTGTCGTAGAGTCCTTCCACGGCGTATTCTCTCGCCAACTTCAGATGATCTTGCAAGCCAGTCAATGAAGCGCCCACCATTGCCCACTGAACGCGTACAGACAATAATTTCCACGAGCTTTGCGCGAATTAGGGTTTTGAAACAGCCCAAAATAGGAACAGCAAGCTCAGAGAAAATTGTGGGAAACAAGAAAACAAATACGAGATTGATACACCGGAATGCAATTGAAATGAGAAAAATGGATGTAGGATTTGAAGCTGGTGAGGGCCTTCAGGTCACAGAATTGCGGTAAGACGACGACGTTTAAGCGGTCAACCGAGGATGAGAAATGGAAATTATATATCACACTTTCGCCGCTAATTTTACTGAAATTTGCACTTGGGGGGCGTGTCACGTGTGGGTTGGTTCCAGTAACGTGGCCACGGGCCGCCCGGCCCGCCGACCCGACCCGGTCAAGCCCGTTGAGCACGGGTCCAGGACTGGATATCAGATTTTCGATGGCGGGCCATGCTCGATCCAGATTGATGACATGTTTTTTTTTCTATTTTTTATAATATTTTATATTTTTTTTTTCAAAAATGGCGAACTCGGCCCAGTCTGGTTGACCGGGCCAGTGACCTAGCACGAACATAGGTCCGTGACTTTGGGTCCTTGTTTTTGAGCCCGGAGGCCCGACGGGCTGTGACCCGGCTCGTGTTTTGGCCATGTCTAGGTTCCACGTTTTTAGGTTTTATATATTTAGTGTTTTTGGTGTTGCTTTTGTATATATTTTTCTTTGTGTGTTTGCATTTTTTTTTATCTTGTTAAGCATAATACAAATCAAGTCTCATATTTCAAGTCACTTTATTGGTAATCAAGCCACTCGAAGGCCCGACAAGCTGATCATGGAGCGAACCAACGTTTCAAACCATTATACCCTGCGAGATCCTTTATGGCCCGTGAGAATCTTCACGGCCCGTGAATAAGAAGATCATTGTGACCCTTCATGGTCGTGGACCCTACTCGTGGACACCTGCCCCGGAGTTTTGTGATCGCGAAAACCACTGTAGCCCACGACGATGAAAATGCCCCGTGAGACCTCACAAAGGCCGTTCATGAGCCTTCTACCATTACACTCATCGCAGCCGCGAAGACCTTTGCAAACTGTGATGGTGCTCGACCCCGATGATGCACCTAGACGAGTTGTTTTTCAAACTGGTAATTAAGGAGGATGTTCCATATACATCTTGGGAGTCTGAAAATTCTTAATAAAATATAAAACATCCCAGGGAAGATCCGACGGAATTCCGAACATCAAAAACCACTTGTACAAGACTAATCCCCTTAATACTCCGATGGTCAATCAAACATTAGATGTTGAAGAAGATCAATTCAACCTTATTAAGAAAAGAAAGAAATACATGGTCCTGAAATACCATATATGAGTGTAAATGTGTAATAGGTGCTCTTGTGTATCTTGCTAATTGTACCAGACAAATATATCTTTGGCTACCACTTATTAGCGAGATATAACTCGTCACCTATGAGGAGACATTGGAATAGAATGAAGCATATATTTCGTTATCTTCAAAGGAAATCCGATTTGAAATTGTTTTACTCAAATGACAAAAAATATGAAATGATTGGTTTTGCAGATGCATAATATTTATCTGACCCTCATAAGACAAGATCTCAAACTGGCTACGTTCACACGATTGGTGGAACTGCATTTTTTTGGCGTTCTGGAAACAAACTATAGTTGCTACATCTTCAAACCATGCTGATATTATTGCACTTCATGAAGCAACTTGGGAAAGCATCTAGCTCAAAAAACACGACCCAACATATTTAAAAGACCAGTGGGTTCGAATAATAAAAATCCGGTGGTGATATTTGAAGACATTGCACCATGTGTCGTTCAAACCAAAGAAGATATATAAATTAAGAGTGACAATACTAAATATATCCCGCCAAAGTTCTTCTCATACACTCGAGAGCTTGAAAAAGAAAAAACAAATCAAAATTCAATACATTCGATCAAGCGATAATGCAACAAATTTATTTACGAAGGCGCTTCCGACTCCAACATTTCGAAAACACGTTAACAACATTGGAATGAGACATATTTGAAATTTGCACAGATGATAAATCGAAGGAGAGCATGTGCGGCTGTACTCTTCTTTCCTTATCTCGATTTTTTTTTTCCACAGGATTTTTCCGGACGAGGTTTTTAACGAGACAACATAAACTCATATTTAATAGTGGTAATTCTAAGGGGGAGTGTCGTGAACAAGTGGAATTATTGATCTTATCACTATTGCACAAGTGAATGTATGGAATGTGTGAAAGAGATCAAATGTCATGCTTGAGACAAGTAAGTGTAATAGAATTGTAGAGACGTAAGAAAGATGAAATAGTATATTCGATATCTATATTAATTTTTTTATCTTACCTGTATTTATAACACTATACATATAGATATATAGTTTTGTCATGGTTATGATTTAGGACTTTTTTTTTTGGTATAAAGAAAGGAGGCCAGAGCGTAATACCTCTAGATAGTTGTATTCCGTGGATACGCGATGCCAAAGACGTCATGCGTTAGCCACGGTTTGACTTCTATCAGTGGATCGAGTAATCGCTGACAACCATTAGGACATGAGTGGGCTAACGTCGGCAAGCAGTCCGCAACAAAATTAACTTCACGATAACAGTGCACAATGTGCAATGTCTAGTCTCGATACATCATCTCTCGAATAGCTCTAACTATCGCGCCGTGCACCCTCCAACTCTCCACTGAGGTCCCCGTGACCATTTTGACTACGCTTTGGTTATCCACATCCACGACAACGTTCTGATACCCCATATCCCAAGCTAGTTGGAGTCCTTGGAATAAACCCCATAACTCGGCGCCCGAGAACTTGCCTCCATCATCTCGCACAATTCCTCCCCACGAGGACTATTTTATTTTTATTTTTCTCATAATTAAAAAAAAAAATGAAAATTTTCCATGACACACACACACACAAAAGAAACAAAAATACTAATAAATATTAAATAGTACGAAAATGTGCGCGCGGCTGTGGCCTGTGTGCGCAAGTCAATAAATTAAACAACGTGGCAAAAGCTGTAGATGTTTATGGCTATGGGCCATCCCCAAACTGATCGATTTTCATCAGTCACCATAGAAAAATAGAAAAGGATTATAGCAACTCAATCTCAATCTCCGAGGAGATAACAATGGCGGTGCTCAATGCGTTATCCCCGCCAACCAAACCTCTACTGCTTGCGTCATCCTCGGAGCAGATTTCCTATTTTTTAACTAATAACGACGGCGCGAGCTCGCGTTGTTCGCACAGAGCTAAGCAAAGAACTCAAACAGCGAAATCGAAGCTGTACGCGATGCAATCCAACACAAATTCATCAGGTACTTTATGCAGATCTTTCACTTTTTTTTCTGTTTTTTTTTTTTATTTTTATTTTTTTGGTGCCTTGTTGTGCGGATTATTGTTTTGAAGTTCTGGGTTTTGGGAGGGCTTATTATTTTTTGGTTGATTTTTATTCTTCCAATTAACTAATTTTGAAGTACTATCTGAATATGGAGGAATGTAAGAGGAAATGAAAATGGTGATTAAAGGGGGAGAATCAGAAGTACGAGCCATGAGTGCCCAATAATTAGGTTTTAAATCTGATTTTTGAGTGTTATTCTGAACTTTTTGGCTTTTATATGTTTGTATTTGTTTTGTACTATCTGGTAGTGCCTAGTGTTAATTATGCATTAGTACCGAAACAGATACCTTTATATGCATACTTTTAAACCGAAAGTGTAACATTCTAGAAATCAACATAAACATAAGTAATAGATTTAATAGCATGAGTATGCATTTTTGTGAAAAAAGTTTGTCGGGTCAACTCACGTAACAGTTAGGCTGACTTATTCAAGAATTTGTGCTTTCTGAAATGCTTTTACAGTTATACGGATGAATGGCTCGTTCTTGTTCGTCGGTATAAAGAGAAAAAAAAAAAGAGTCTTCATATAGTACTATAGAGTATAGAAACAAATTTTGAACTCTGTACGAAGTTATGTGCATAACTGTGGCCAACATAACAGTGTAAGCACTCTTGTAAAAGAAAAGTTATGCTGAACCATAAGTGAAAAAGAGATTCAGAAAGCTATTCCTTAAAAGTTGATGGGCACAAATGTTCAGGAAAGAGGAGAAAGCAATCATAGGTTGCGTTTGGATCGGAAAAAAAACTGGAGTTGGGAGAGGATTTGGAGAACATTTCTTGCAGCCTGGTTTTTTGTATTTTGAAAATGCATCTGAATTTGAGAAAGTTACAAAGTAAAGACAAATCATATGGTAGTGACCCCTCAATGTCCTGACTTTTTATGTTGAGTTACTTCTTAGCATTACATTTTATAACAAGAGGAAATTACAAAAAAAATAAAAAAAATAAACACACTTAAAGTTTGACCTAGTTACAAAAACTAACAAAAGTATCAATAAAAATTGAAGTGCAAAGATTACCTGAGGCTTGATTCAGTATAAAAACAGGGAGTAATAGTAGTAATTCCTTTATGAACGTGTAAAGGGATTCTGAATGCATTCTGCTTATGAATTGGGTGAATTCAAGACAAAAGTAATTGTAAGGGTATTTCTGGAATTTTTTCGATTAGATGATTTTTCCACAAGTATTGAAATGGCATGATACTTTTCGTAACTAATATTTTGCAAAATGCTACTTAACATTACCACATTGAGGTCCTTGGTGCCATTGCCTTGCTTTTTGTCAGTAATAATCGGTTCTTTTTTTTTTNTTTTTTTTTTTTTTTTTTTTTGTTTCAGGTATTGGATTTTCATGGCTAAAAGACACCTCTTCTAATGGCAACACAATTATTAGTCGCATAAAAACCGAAGGTCCATTGCATTCTGTGTTCCCCACGAAACCAGCTGAAGTCTCTTCTGTAAAAGACCTTTTTGAATTTATATGCTCGGGTCCTCTTATGGACAAAGTAGGCCTAACCCCAGAGAAAGTGGCTGAATCAATTGATAAGTGGGTGTTGTGCGGATCACAGCTTTGTAGATTGTTTCAGCTCAATGAACTTTATCTCACGGAGCCTCAGAAAGTTCGGTTATACCATTATTACATACCGGTTTTCTTGTGGTGTGAGCAGGAAATCTCGAATCATAATTATAAGTTCAAAGATGGAGAAGATGTCCCCCCTTTGGTGGTATGTTCTAATGTTTTGAGTCATTGCTTTAGTGTTTATAGTTGGATAACAAAATACTCACGAGGTTCGACCAAATTTAGAAAATAAAAATAAACTCCAACCTGAAATATTTTTACAAATTACATCCCTTGAGCTTTCTGAATATCATCACCTCCACCTTTTGTCCTGCATTTGACATTAACGGAAAGTAGGTTGCATTTTACATGAGAGATATTTAACGACAGAAAATTCCATCAAATTAACCAACAGCTGTGGTTGATTGTCAGAAGAAATCTATCATAAATAGGTGTTTTTCTTGTAATTAATAATCGTGCATCGAAAATCCTAGTTCATATACTTGTATAAATTAAATACCAAAAGTACTCGTAAGGCTTTTCCTACAAATACCTCTAGAAAATGTTACAAACTACCCCTTCAAATATTGAACAAATGTCAATGAAGAAATTGTAGTTTCAAAAGACGAGTATAGAAACTCAACTGGTTATAAGAAAGCATTTATCTGCTGATCCAGCATGGTTATAGCGACTGTTGAGTCTGAAATTTTTAATAATTTGTTTTAGTTTTGGTGCAGATTGGATTTAGTGCACCACAAGGTTGTGGCAAAACAACACTCGTTTTTGCATTGGACTTCCTTTTCCGAATCACTGGGAGGTAGATTACAAAAGGGTAATCTTTTGTTGAAAGTAAAAATATTGGAGACCGTCCAAATAATGGTAACAACTAACAATTCATTTCAGGAAGACTGCAACTATATCCATTGATGATTTTTATCTCACAGCAGAGGATCAGGTAATTATCTTTTTTCATGAATCTGTTAAGTTTAGCCTCATGTGTCTAAAACTCCAATCTTGCTAGAATATTTGTCTCTTTCATCATCATGAACTCGCAAGCACATGCATTTCCTGTACTATTATTAATTCACAACGTAAAATGTAATATTTGTTTCGCCTGTCTTAACATATCTCCTGTGTATATTAGTTATCCTAATTAATGAACCTTAACTTTGTGTATATCAATTTTAGGCCAAACTGAGAGAAAGCAATCCTGGGAATGCACTTTTAGAGGTAATTTGGACAAGACTCTAAAGTTGGATATCCTTTCTTCCCTAGCTTTTTTTTTTTTTTTTTTTTTTTTTTTTTTTTTTTTTTAAATTAAAAAATTTATTTTCGCCTTTCAGTTACGTGGAAATGCTGGTAGTCATGATATTGGGTTGTCCATCGAGACATTGACAGCCTTAAGCAAATTAACTAAAGAAGGTGATAAGTGATAACAAAAATCAGTTGTGTTGTTATTCTTTATTCTGATCATGCAATAGTGGAATTAAATTTATTGCGTTTATTTTGTTAAAACATAGGCACAAAAATGAAGCTGCCTCGGTATAACAAGGTGGGCACACGTAACACTACGACTAGGTTCACATTTTTTCGGTTCTATACTTAGTTCTATTTTCTGTTTGCAGTCTGCGTATAATGGTAGAGGTGATCGAGCCGACCCTTCAAAGTGGCCAGAGGTGGAGGGCCCACTGACTGTAGGTCGTTTGTACTTTATCTAGCGATCAAATGAGAATAGTGTTGCTTAATGTACTTGCTTATCGTCTAGATTTCTCCAATTTACTTAGTCCAGCGCTTAATATTAATTAAGGGAGATGTTTTGAAATAATTACTTTCCATATTTAGATTAAAAATTGAGTAATGTTTAAACTTACACTATAACAACTTAATAGTATTGCATATCAAGTTTGTATTCTTTACAATTATTTTTTTTCATAACTTTCTTGATTGTGTAGGCTGTTCTATTCGAAGGCTGGATGCTCGGTTTTAAGCCAGTGCCAGTTGACGTTGTGAAAGCAGTTGATCCACAGGTTTGAGAGCTTCGATGCATAATTTTTGCATTATGTTAGTCCCACTTGCATTTTTAAGCTCGCGAAAAAAAAAAACAAAAAAATAAAAAACAAACATAATTTTGCAGCTTGAGATCATCAATAAAAACTTGGAAGCTTATTATGATGCGTGGGACAAGTTCATCAAATCATGGATAGTAATCAAGATTCAGGACCCCAGTTATGTCTATCAGTGGCGTTTGCAGGTAATTTACGCTCAGTCATCCTTAAATATAATACAAATTTCAAGATTGTATTTATCAATAGTTTTTGAAAAAATTTAATACAAAATTCAAGATTGTATTGTAATTTTTAAAAATTGTCCCAAATACGATTTCAACATATGCCAGTCCTCTGATTAAGTTATTTTCAGGCTGAGATTGCCATGCGAGCTGATGGAAACCCGGGAATGTCTGATGAGGAGGTATTTATAAAGTTTTAACATTATATTTAAAAAATAAAAAAAAAAACTTGTCACTAAACCGCGAGGATCATATGTTGCAATTCACATCGATTATAATTGCAGGTTCTTGATTTTGTTTCAAGATACTTGCCAGCATACAAAGCATATCTCCCTACTCTCTATGCTGAAGGGCCAAATGGTGCCGATCCTAACCATTTGCTCGTTGTCGATATTGACGAGGGCCGAAACCCAATTCTCGGTAATTAGATGACAATACCCGAGTTTCAGATTTTTTTTTTTTT